GCTGGGATCCCGCTGGGATTTCAGCTCTCGCTGCCCCAGACGGGTCCATCCCACCCCCCCAGTGATGTGTCCGTGGGCACCACCAGCTCCTGCCTGGGTTTGACGGGGTGGTTCAGGGCTGGGACACTTCCTAGGTATTTTTTCCCATCCCTCCCCTCCTGTGGGAGCAGGATCAGGGTTGGAGGAGGGAACTCCAGACCCCACAGCTCGGCCCCTCCTCAACTGGGCTAGTTTAGCTCTGCATTACTGAGCCATTCCTGCACTGGGATCTCCCACTGCTGTATCCCAAGGGGAAAACAGCACTCGATGTGGATTTTGTTGGATGTGCTTTGCCCCAGAGCCCTCAGAGGTCGGCAGTAGGAAATCCCATCCAGAACCTTTATTCCCTAAATAACGCTGGCTCAGATTTTAATGCGCATTTTGACACAATTAATCTCGGGTTTGGGGCCGCCTGGGAGCAGAAGCAGCTCCTGCAGCAGCATCCCAGGGATTCTCCAGTCCCCAGGGGGCAGATGGGGCTGGAATTGTCCCAGCTGACTTCATGGATTGTCATTTTCCTCAGAAATTCCACAGAAAACAGCCCAGTGGCCTCTCTCCCCCCCTGAGCAGGGGGAGCTCAGGGACACGGGGACAGGGAGACTCGGACAGCAACAGGTTTTGTTTTCCAGCACTTTGGAGCAGCTGGATTTGTCCCAAGTGTCCAGGGAGGTGGGAAGAGCTGCAGGGAGCTCTGCTGAGGGGAATACTGTGAGATCCAGGTGGATGGTGCTGCTCCCAGACTTCCCCAGCCATTCCAGGGCTCTTTCCCTGGGCACCACAAAGCCTCCTTAAGGATTAGCCCCAAATTATTTTGTCACTGCTGGCAGCTCTTTAGAACACAGGGGCTAAAATTACAATTCCTCTTTCATGTTTAATCCCTTTTTTTTTTCCCCTCTCTGTCTTGGTTTGGACCTGAAAACCACAGTGGCTGCTCCCACTGCCAGCCTGGCTCTGGCATTATTGGACTTCAGCCCCTGCCTGTGAATAAACATGAAGTTTTGATTCCTGCAAAGAAACAACCAGGGTTTGGTCCAAGGTGCCACCAAAAAAAAAAAAAAAAAGTGGCTTTTACAAGATTCCAAGCCAAGGTTTCGTTTTTGGGCACCAGCACCGAGGTGCAGCCGTGGTTTATTATTTCAGCAGAGTCATGAATCGTGTTTGTGCCCAAAATAGTTGGATGCTGGGCTTCAATCCAGCCAAATCCCCCACAAATCACCTTCAGCTGCAAAACTCTTCCGTTGTCGTGCCGATGACAAATCGCTGGAATCCTCCCTGCCCCGGCTCAGCCAAGCTACCGGTGCCCACTTAAAACAACCCGGTGGGTCATCCCTGAATTTGCAGCCGGGTTTTGGCTGATTTTTGGAGGTTTCCCACCGCTTCGGACCACAAGAGGTCGGCAGAATCCCGGGGATGGGAGCCGGGCTCTGCCTTGGCACGTCCCGCCGGCGCTGCCGCTCCGTCCAAGAACACCCGAACTAATTACGCGGCGAGAAAATCAGGGTAATTTGGGAGCAGGGCACGCGTTGCCGGGGGGCTCTGGCTGCTCCGCTGGCTGCCTTCACGTGCGCCCGGCGGGAATTAAGAGGGATCAGAGGCATTAAACAGGCTCCGGCTGCTCTCCCTTAATTCCCCCCTCCCGGTACAAAAGGTCCCCGGGCTCGGGAGGTCGCGGCGGGACACGAGCCGGGCCGTGCCCAGCGGGGCCTGAAGGTGGCAGCCGGGGGAGCCCAAATTGTTCACCGGGCTCCTGTTCTCTGTGCTTTGCAGCCCCCGCTGGCGCCCCGGGATGGTCCCGCCATGAGAAGGTGCTGCCAGGGCGTGGGGCTGCCATGCCTGTTTAAGGTCAGTGCCAATGTCACCTGCCCGCTCCCTCCTTTGCTCGGGGAGAGCAGGAACTGGGTCCCCACCCTGCAAACCCCCACCCCGGAGAGCCAAGGGGAGAGGGGGGACTGGGGAGGCCGGGCTGGGGGGCACCAGCTCTGCCCCGGGTGGGCAGAGGGGGTTAATTTTGCGTTTAGAGCAGGGCAGGAGGCAGCTCTGAGTTCATGGAATAGCCTCAGCTGGGAGGGACACACCAGGACCACCCAGCCCAACCCCTGGCCCTGCACAGACACCCCAACAATCCCCCCCTGTCCCTCAGAGTGTTTTCCAAACCCTCCTGGAGCTCTGGCAGCCTTGGGGCTGTGCCCACTGCCCTGGGGAGCCTGGTCGGTGCCCAAACAGCCTCTGGGGGAAGAACCTTTCCCAAAATCCAGCCCAACCCTCCCCTGGCACAGCTCAAGCCGTTCCCTGGGTCCTGTCCCTGCTCTTCTCCCTGGGGTGGCTGCAGAGCCCAACCTGG